AGTGCACCATGTTGGCGGGCGGCTTTGCTGGGAGCTGCAGGAGGACACAGACCCCGTAGTGGAGCTGCAGACCCCAGAGAGGCTTTTATCCCCCACCAGCGGCTCCTCCCCGTCCTGCACTGTGGGGCCATTGGTTGGGGCCGGGGTGGGGGTCCGCGCCGGCCGGGCAGCAGAAGGGGATGGCCAGGGTGTGGCACGCTGAGAAGGGGCCCCTGGTTATCCCCAGCTCAAGAGCTTTGTCCCTTCCCCTCCGTGCAGGCTCTTCTCCATTTCACCCACCAGACGTGGGCCCCTTTGAGGAGAAAGGGCTGCACGAGCCTCGTGCGATAGTCCAACGCGATCGAACACGCGTGCATGGGCCTCAGTGGGTGCGAGCCTGGCGCCTCGGCTTCCCCAAATGCTGGACTGAGCCGTGTCTTCGCCTCTCTCAGCGGAATGATGAATGCCGCTGCCAAAACGCAGCCTGTGGCAGAGCGACCCAGAGGGGTTTGCCACCAGAAAACGGTGCAGATACCTGTGCTGCTGGTGGGCTCCAGTGCCATTGCACCACCAGGAGCTGTGGGCCATGCTGGAGTTGTCCAGAGGGTGCTCAGGCTCTGCAGCCGAAATCTGCATTAACCCCATTGTCCTCCTCCTGTAAGAGAACTTGACCTACTTGGTTTACTTGTCCCTTTTGGAGCAGGAAGAATCTCACCCAAATGTTCTCCCCTCAGATGTAAAAGGACCGGCCAGACGCAGTGCTGCTGGACAGGGAGCAAACAGGATCACCCTTCTCATCCCATTTCTGCTTTCATCCACCTCCATAAGGGGCAGGAGAACTGGGCTTTGAACACAAGGTGTTGCCACTGCAGGTTCTGCTGTGGGCTCAAAACCCAGCAAAAGCTTAGCTCAGAGGTGTCCAGCCCAGGGGGAGCCTGGGGCCTTTCCCTTCTGAACCTGCCCCTACAAGGCTGCTGTATTTCACACTTCTCCCCCACGTTCAGCCGGGACGTGCCCAGTCTGCTCTGGCAGGAGGAGATGTTTGGGCTCCATGAGAATTGCTCCCCTGGGACACCCCCGAGCGCACTGGGGGTCATGCACCCTCCCCAGGAGCAATGGCCCTGCACGGAGGGGGCTCTCCTCTTTTATTTTCTGGATAAAAGCCCAAGAAACACAGCCTCAGTGAAAGCACAGGGGCTGTGATCTTGATTCCAAGGCACCTGGAGCAATCCACTGTCTCCCGTTGCTTTCCGTGGGTTCTGGACTGGGGTAAGAGGCACTGGGTCCTGTTGGACTACTGAGCGGGTAAGAGGTGGGGTGTTTGGATGGCCAGGCTGCAGCAGAGCCAAAGAGCTGACCAAGCTCCTCTGCAGACATCGGGGCTTGCCTTTCTCCACAGACCACCTCCTGCTAAGTCTCTTCTTGGCCTTATACCGAAAATACAGGAATGTGAGAAAAATCAAATAAAAGAAAGAAAATAGAACCATAGGATCACAGAACTGTGGAATAGTTTGGGTTGGGATGAACCTTTAAAGGCCATCTTCAACTAGACCAGGTTGCTCCAAGCCCCGTCCAACCTGGCCTTGAACACCTCCAGGGATGGGGCAGCCACAGCTTCTCGGGGCAACCTGCCCCAGGGGATCACCACCCGCACAGGAGAGAATTTCTTCCTCACATCTCATCTCAGTCTCCCCTCTGTCAGTGTCAAAGCATCCCCCCTCGTCCCACGGCTCCCCTCCCTGACCCAGAGTCCCTCCCCAGCTCTCCTGGAGCCCCTTTAGGCACTGGAAGGGGCTCTGAGCTCTCCCCTTTTTGGCCTTCTCTTCTCCAGGCTGAACCCCCCCAACTCTCCCAGCCTGTCCTCCCAGCAGAGGGGCTCCAGCCCTCCCAGCAGCTCCGGGGCCTCCTCTGGCCCCGCTCCAACAGCTCCGTGTCCTTCTGCTGGTGGGGGCCCCAGAGCTGGATGTTGGGACTGAGGGAGATTTTTCAGCCTGGTAATATCTCTTTCCCCCTTTAGTTGTAGGCTTTTTTCCCCAATGGAATATGGATCAATAATCTTCATTAGAGTTGCCTACATCTGCCTTTTCTCAAGAAAATGCAGTGCACGTGGGCTGGTGTGCTGGAGCACAGTGATAAATCCAGTCGAGCGCTGCCTGGGTGCGTGCATGGGGGTAAGAACATCCAGGCAAAATGCTGCCGGGAGGCCACTGGTGCCCACCGGTGCCCACCCTCCTGCAGCCCCTTATCAGCCCCTCCAGGACCTGCAGCGCTGCCGCACCGCACCGCACCGGGCATCGCCCAGGGGGGTTGTCGGCTCCCACAGCGCTGTTCTGCCACCACGCAGGAGACAAAACAGGAGCAGGCAAAGCAGCGCGGGGAGAGGACCTCCCACAGGACCTGTTTGCTGGGGGGACAGGGACCAGGGTGTCATCCCCCAGCTAAGGATAGGGAGCGAAGCCACGGGCAGCACCAGGGGAACCGTCCCCATCCTGCCATGCTGCCGGGTGCAGGGGATGGAAACCCTCATCCCTGGTCCTGAGGAGGGGTACCCCAGCAGGAACCCTGGAGTGGGAAGAGCCCAGCCCCCCCGCTGTCCTGACCCGTGGGGTCTAACCTTCTCGGCTCACTTCCACCCCCAGACACCTTGCTCGCAGGAGGAGACCTACTTGTTCAAATAATTCCCTCATTTCTGCCTGAAGCCTGTGAACAATATGTTCATACGAAAGTCTACGAATACCTACCATGAAACCTGTGAAAAGTCACGTACGAATCTGGTTTTTTATGTGACCCTGGATGCCTGACCGAGACGACCCGCTGCAGGGAGGACAGCACTTTGGGACTTGGTACGAAACACCTTCTCACCTTCTCAGGGTCTGCCTTGACACCAGAAACAAAACACCTCTTCCTTTGAGCAACGCATGTGAGAAGGGGCATTTATGGGTCACGGGGGGCTTTTAATACTGTCCAGTGGGTCAGGAAAGAGAGTGGGATGCCCACAAATGTGGACAAAGCAGGGAGAGGACACGGCAAGCAGGGTGTCAGAGATACTGGGGTATATAGCTTTGCCCTCTTTTCTCCCTTGGAAAAATGAGCCCATCCTTTCGGCTAACCATTGCTTTTACTGCTTCACGCTCAGCTCAAACTGGGCAGACAGTGCTTCACATGCCAAGAACAAACTCTACCCAAGAGAGCCCTGCTCTGCAGACGCTTAAACACCCAAAATGCTCTGCTTGCACACAGCATCGATTAATACTCACGTCCAGAATATTATTAATATTTACCGCTAGGAGCAGTAACCCGCCCC